ATCTTTAGTCTCCCCGTGAAAGTGTTTTATTTAATTGTGTACTACTCGCATAAACTACAGACATTATTTGAATTTTTTATTGGTTTTAAACTATATTACATTATTTAAAAACTTTAAAAACGTGCTAAATAAAATTGTACTAAGTAAAACATTGTTTGAAAACTCAAAATTTACGCTACATATAATTAAATACACAAAGATAAGATTTTTCCGACATACAAATTTTAAAAATAAATTAACTTACATATTAATGAAGTAAAATATACGTGAGTATTAAAACCCTATTTCTTAATCTACTCGTCACTTTTTGGGCTGCGAAATTAGAACTCGACCGAGTAATGTCTGAAACTTAAACGAAATATTGGTTGTCCACTTCTCAGAAACACTTCTGATCTAGTTTATGTTAATACTAAAAATCAAACTGTTTCTTACAGACATCGTGAATTGGTTCAAGACCTTTGTCGGCACGTACTCAACGCCACCACATTCACCACAAAAGCATTTGAGCCGACGACCAGATGAAAGCTCTATACATATTTTCCCTGTTAAGGCAGCCGCAAAAAATAAGTTTAATATTTGCGTTGAACTCTTTCCGTCATCAGTCTCTCTATCAATATCCATGTATTGATGACTGTTCGATCAACGAACTGATGTAGAGAGGTGAGAGGAGAGATGGGGGGTTGTGTTATTTTAAGTTTGTGATTGGAGAAAATAAAAAGTAAAATTGGAGAAAGTAAAATTATAAATTATTCACTCCCTACATTGGCAAAAGCGGAAAGAAGATATATTTTATAAGGTTTCATATTTATTATTTATTTATGTTTATTTTGTTGGACTGCTCTTGTCTATTTCATTACAAATAATTTTTTCCCTGTAATTCTTTATTTAAAAAGCAAGGGGTATGCTTACGGCATAATATACAAAATCTTTGAAAGCCTAAAAATAATGTGATATATCTTTTAAAAATCCAAAAACAAATAGAAAAAACTCGGGCAGGACTTGAACCGGCAGCGACAGCGTTACGTGCTCAATCAATTGAGCTACCGAGTCTTACGTCTTAAACTTATTTTTATTTTAACTGCGGCCCGAAGAGCCCCCCGTCACCAATGACGAGCCTTTAAATTAATTTTTAATAAGTTAATATGTCACGTTTAAAATCGTTAAAGGTGTTTTATTTAAATAAATTTCAGTTTAAGCTAAGTTGAAGTCAATGTACAGTTTAAGCCCTTGCAATTTTTACGCAGAATCAACTGTGACGACTTAGTATCGTTGACAGCTCTAAAATGATGCTTCTTATTGTAGACATGTTATTGAACTCGTATAAGTACGTCGAAATAACTTAACAAAAACTCTCATACGTGCAGTTACTCAACCCGAATAGAAGTATTTTTCACACGTTACGCAATTATTAAAAGAATCTTTGTATAGGATGATGATTTTACACTACGTGGAGTAAATTGTGGTCCACGTTATATAATAAGCAAAATTATATTCAAATAGTTAGCGTACAATAATGGAAATCTTTAATAGAATTCACGAATTACTTACAATCGCTGAGTCAATTAAGTAAGTGAAAAACGACGTACGATCGTAAGTAAGAATCGACTTGGCCCAGACAAAAATACAACGTATATAACTTTACAAAGCTGAAGAGTTTGTTTGTTTGTTTGAATGCGCTGATCTTAGAATCTACCGGATCGAAAATTCTTTTTGTGTTGGTTAGAGCATTTATCGAGGAAGGCTATAGGATATAAAACATTGCCCTGTAACTAATAGGAGCGTACGATCTAAAAAAATCCCGCGACGACGCGACCCACGTCGTGGGTAACAGTTTAAGTTTATAAAGGTAATATTCACAAGACCACTTTTACATTCAATAGTAAAGCCTAAAAAGTTTCTGGGTTCAAAACTCGAGGACACATATTGCTTAGTTTTAGTCAAATAGACAGAGGTTAGAATTACCATTAATAATGAAATTTAATATTATATAAAAAAATAAATATTCTTAATATATCAGTAAGGAGACACGAAAGTGTAACTGCCCCAATGTATTTATTTGTTCATTCTTTTCTTTATGATAGAGAAGGATAGACAACCATGGAATCCACTTAATGATGGGTTAAATTTCAGCCAAAACATCTAAACAAGATGACCTATTCTTCTTTGGATATTCGACACACTGAAATCGAAACGCGTTGACGGCTTTTTCGTTTGTAGACGGTGGTTCATGCTTACGGAGTTGTTATATTCCTACCAACCATTTAATATTTCAGATGTCCAGACAATGTCCAAAATGTTTCAGAAAAGACCTGGTGAGGTTCACAACCCGTTTATTATTACAAAGAGCTCGTCAAACAACTATACAAATGAATCTATACGCCTTCAAACTATTTCGTACTGTAACAATAAAAGTGAATACAGTGAAACAAAAGAACATCACTTAAGTTCGGATTTTAAATACAACACTACGGAAGAAGTAGAGTTCTGTAGAGGTAGGGCTACTAGTATGTAACAACCTTCTGAATAGCAGTCGCACAACTGGTTTCCCAACGGCTAATTTTTGTCCAGACGCCTCGGCCACGCTTATATACGACGCATTGTGTTTGAGACCTTAACAATCATTTCAATAACACCCTTCGCTTACACCATAACTATTCGCCAAGTAACAAGAAGAAGGAAATTCTTACCACTTTAATAACGATAAAATGGTCTGGTGAATTCTAGAACTTTCTGTAAACTTTGTAATAGATGTAATTTATATTACTAACCATCGTAGAACTTATCGTAACCTCTTTCACATACCTAAATAACATTTATAAATAGAAATTTTACAACTACCCTCTACAGGTGCTGTAAAAATACTGTTAACAACATATTACCACTGCATAAAAGTATTCATTCCTTTGAAGGTTAAATTGCATACGATATTTTAATAAAACCCCCAGTGAAGTGAAAATACTGTCAGTAAACAAGATTAAATAGTATGTAAAACAAAAACTGCTTGGAACGAGATATTATGACGTGAATCAATATTTAAACAATAAATATACTTGGGGTTTAAAACCCGATCAAACAAGAAAACTATGTAGTGCACTTAAAGTACGTTAAGACTGTAAAATTAAACTTGGCGATGAAAGGAGTGGCGGCGAGTTTCTTACCAGTTCTTCTCGTTCGTTCTACGCCCTTAATTTGAAAAGTACGTTCATAAGTAAGTGTACCTTAGTTTACCGTTACTTACGTTAATAAATGATCTTTTACTTTGCCTTAATTAATACTTATAAAATAAATATGTACTAGAAGATGTATGAATGAAGAGTAAGTAACTCCTGAATGTAACATGACCTACCATAAATAGTTCGCTATAGAACTGAAGAACAATGAAACAATATGTAAACAGTTAAATATTACATCTCCCATCTACATATTTTACAGTGTCGGTAGGGTTGCCAGATGGGCGATTCCTAACTATACGTTAAATAAGGCTGACTTAAATCCCACATTTTGCAAGAAATGCTATTCCTTTATTTATTTTCTTTTTAATTCTTAAATGAAACAGTCATTGAAAGAAGGAAGGGAATAGATTGTATAAAGGTTTCGCGGCCATCTTGGTTTGGGTTTTTCAATCTATAAATAATTAAGCTGAAGAGTTTGTTTGTTTATTCGAACGCGCCGAACTCAGAAACTACTCGAATGGATAAGTTGTTTTTGTTAGTGCCTTCATGTGCAATAACATGTGAAAAATAATAATGTTTTCAAAATTATTTTTGTGTTAATCAAGACTTCAAAAATGAGTTAACGAAAATGATTCATCTTTAAGGGTTTGTGTTGCGTGCACTGTAAAGACGGTTCGGGATAACCAAACAAAAAACAACAAATTAAGAATGATTGGATGCGGACGAAGTCGCGGGCACAGCTAGAAGAAAATATTTGCCAACCCTACTCTCGTTCCCATCTACACCTTTGTAGCGCAATCTACACCATTCAACATAATTTGAATTACATGACTTGTTAAATTCACCTCGTCATTGCAATATTGTCAACGATTTTCGACCTTGTTCCTTAGATATTAGGAGCTAGAATTGCTAAATGTAAAATTGAATTGGAACACGAAATCCAACTTGGGTTATTTTCATAGATATTCCTAATAGATTTTCGGAGATGGTCGGAGATAGCGCGTTGATATTCTTAGCTAGTTTTTTCTACTGGCTTCACTTGTAATTTATAAGTGCACGCCTCACATTATGAGACCGATAAAAACAAAATTTGTGTGGGAACCGTACTGTTACTGACCTTTAAAAGTATGTGTAAGCATACATAGCTTTAAGGTGTGTTACTTTGTAATATGTAATAAACTTGTTTGAAATTTTTTTAACTACGGCCCGACGTAACTAATATATATCGCGTTTTAAACCGTTAAATTTAACCGGCGACCCATTTTGGTTTCCGACATTCAGGAGATATATTCAATTAGTCCAAATTAGCTATTTATTGAGAAAGCACATTGTCGCTACTGTATTTTATATAACTGTGAAGCCAACATTCCCAGTAGTGCACACCGCATTTATTTCTCGTCAGGCACGCGACAATAATGCACCATGTAGAACCATGATTAATGATTGGCAGAACAGCATATTCCTTGCAGGCATTCTAACAATTTTTCTAGATTTAACTCAATTTGTTCTGCGTATTTACGTTACTAAGAACGTGCTATGTCTCTTTGCCTAGACTTTCTAAGCGAAGTATTATAATAAGACTTTTCGGGCTGTTCGGCCCACGTAAGTGAGAAGAGCTCTCGATGTTTCTCCATCACGAGTGGACGGCATCATTAGGAGATCCTCGATTGCTCGAAAAACAATGATTTGCTGAACGATGGCCATGAAAGCCTTACACAATTTATTAAAGTTGTAACACTTTTAAAAAGTATACTTTAGAAAACATAATATACTCATTTAGTAAGTAACAATGCTTAAGTAAGAGATAATAATATTCCAAAAACAAACCTCAGAAAAATCGCGTTGCGACATCTTTCATCCTCTACATTATTTCCTTTGTTCCTGAAAAGAAAAACTGCGCATGAGTAGGATAATTAGCAAATGTCATATACTCTCTACGTGATATATTACATTATGATCACACATTTTTTTATGATAGAAGAAGACAACCAAGTTTAAGGTTCAATTGATGATAGGTGAAATACTCCAGCCATATAACATCTAAACAAAATGCGCTGCCGGCCTATTTTGGCTTTATTTCCACAGTATGTAAACGATACGTGATTAAACTTGACATCTTTTTCATCTGTGGACTTTCCGTGGCCTGGACAGAATTTCGATATTTCTACCACGCATTTAATATCCAGATTTCCGGACGAAATCTAGCATGTTTTAGATAAAATATATATTGATTAGAGAAATTTTGGATCCGGCGGCGATCGAAGTCACAGTCCGTTGATTATTCATGAGATGTAATACTATACAACTCCTGTTAAAAAACATTGATATTTTTCACATGTTATTGCACATGAAGGCACTATATAATTTAAAAATCGAAAATAAATTGAAAAAAATTTTTTTCTCCTGCTCGAGTCGAAAATTTTTTCAATATATTTTCGATTTTTAAATTATATAACTCCTGTTAAATTTTGTGCTGTTATCTTAAATTTCGATTTAAAAGGGAAAATTGTGTAAACAACTGCAAACATACATTTCTAGACATGATGAAATTTCGTGATTGTACCAGCGCGCCACGCCCGAAAGTAGATGCTCATTATAGGTCAAAGGTCTGACCCTATACGCGTTGTACAATAGCATTAGAATTTGCAAAACACTCAACTCTGTCAATTGCAAAATACATGTACTCCATTATAATAGCTTAAATGAAACATGTTTCGTTATTTGACAGATATGGCTATAACTAACTAATACTATTTTTAAAGTCATTTTTTATTCTTATAAGGACTGCTTCAGTAGCCAAATGGCTAAAGCCCCGCATTGCGTTAAACGTGACAGGTCCTAGCTTCGAATCTCGCGGAAACAATAAATTGTTTAGTGAGAATTGCATAGAAGTGTGACCAACAATTTATAAGCATAAATGAGACCGATCAGTGAAGCGGACACAGAAATGTGGCCTCTGAAGGGGCGACAGAATATCAGTGTTGGTACATTAGTCTATACATGGCTGAGTGGACTTCTTTTCTGAGGCAACCATTTTATTTTTTTTATTATTTTATGTGTAATTAGTTAACTTATATATTATTTGTAATTGTTTTAATTTGTTTTTTTTTTTGGTAAATGTATTGTGTGGTTTCCGAATAAACGTCTTCTATTCTATTCTAAATGTTTACCCCATGCCCGACGAGGGGAAATATGATTTTACACACTTTTTGTTATAAGGTTTGAAAAACAAAGCTAAAAGGACAGACAAAGAAAAAATAATATACACTATCTAGACTATGTGGAGTCTTATAATAAATATACTGTATAATAATCATCCAATAAGGATCAAACCTACAGACTTATGATCCCGACTTCGATATACATTTAAACAAATTTTTAAATACATGTAAATTATTGATTTATGACTAATTTTATGTCTAAGTACTTAAATATAACATTTATGTTTCCTGGTTTTCCGATCATATCTAATCATACTTGGCTTCCGTTAACCCAACAAACTAGTAATACGGTACTAATAGGCAATAATCGGCGAAATTATAAAATCAATCGTTATTTTGTCTGGTTCGCATAACCCATCGATTTGGTTGGCAATAATTATTAACGTGAGTTTTGAGTTTATCTTTGTTAATAAGTAGGTAATAACTTAGTTGTAAATTTGAATTTAGAACTTTTTAAAAATTGGATTCTATACGAATAAATGATTCTTTTTTTTAATTTCATGTAATTAAAAGAATGATTACCTTTAAATAAACCACTTTGACGGTTTAAACGATATATTTTAGTTAAACTTGTTTAAAAATTATTTAAATGTGTACTACTCGCGTAAACTACAGACGGTATACAATGACTACCTACTTATAAAAACTAAATTACCCGCTAAACTTAACCACTAGTCCTGTCACCAAGTTGTTTAAGAACCTTAAAGAAAAGAAGAGATGCTACTAACTACGCCGACTACTCGATCTACGTAGAATAGAAAATATAAATCCTACTGGTACAGGTAAGCGGAACGGTTTTTAAGGGTAAATATATAAATGTGTAAAACATCTTTACGTAAACACTTCTAAACTGAATTCGATAAACATGTTGCACTATATTGAATATTCGTCCGGTTCACCTGAAATAAACACTTTGACGGTTTAAAACACTATATTTATTGGTTAAAAATGTTTGAAAATTTTTTAACCACGGCCCGACGTAACTAACTAATACATATCGCGTTTTAAACCGTTAAATTTAACCAGCGACCCATTTTGGTTTCCGACATTCAGAAGATATATTCAAATAGTCCAAATTAGCTATATATAACGTTTTAATTTTATTTATTGAGACAGCACATTGTCGCTACTGTATTTTATAATTATTATTATATAAGTTTTATGTTAAAATCAAACCTGATGTTTAACGCATAGACGTAAGACAAGTCAATCGCGATTGTCACTTGTCTACAGTTTTAATTACTAAAGGCAGTAAGTACAGAACGATTACAAAAAACATTTTTTGTTGAAACATCTTCAATAGAGACATGGTTTTAAACGTCCCGTTTTTATTACACGACATAAAGAATTCTATTAAGCTTAACCAGGCGCACTAAAAACTATCATTAATCCGGTTTATGTGAGAAAGTGTGTATTCACGAGATAAATCATTATCCGGTCGACTTGCAGTACGAAGAACTTGATTCAAAGATCTATCGCTGCGCAGGATTTGCCGATTTGTGAGGCAAATATGCAATATCTGAGTCTTTTCAAGTGACACGGAAAATTACTTGAAGTTCGTTCTGAATATGGTTGTAAAGAGCAACGTTTTATATTTTAATGTATAGTTTATAGAGTTTCCGAATATCCAAAGCCAAAATAGTTCTGCGCATCTTATTTAGATGTTATGTTGCTGGGGTATTTTAGCCAACTGTCCAGTGAACTCTATGTCATCCTATATCATAAAGAAATAACAATTTAAAGGTCAAGATAAAACTCCTTTTTATAAGATTTCCAAGAAGAAATTCCATCAATTTAATACATTTTACATTTCACATGTTTGTAATTTCAAATTGATTGTTTTAAAGAAAACAAAAGAAAGATTTTAACAGAGTACTTTAAAACGTTTTTTTGGACTAACGTACTTTAATAAAACGCATAGAGTAACAAAGTATAATATAAAAACTGTCTATAGTTTACGCAAGTAGTACACATTTAAATAAAACACTTTAACGGTTTTAAACGTGATATATTTTAGTTAAACTTGTTTGAAAATTATTTCCAACTATCACGTCAAAATATATCGCGTTTTAATCCTTTAAAGTGTTTTATTAAAAATAGGCCAGTGTGTAAAATTAAAAGTATAATTCTTCGATCATAAATCTGTTAAATAAAGGGAAACTCTTGCTCCATCTAGAATGTAATCATTGGAGATTTAATTTTGCTTGGTGCTTGACAATCTTCTAACCAATTAAGTAAACACATAAGTCCATGATGCCTGTTATTAAAGCATAAAGCAATTTAATCTTTATAAGCACTTTTGCAACTTTGTAGTATGGCAAATTATTATAGAAGTTTTATAACAGTAAGTGTATTAACTGACTCCATGTTTTTAACTTTAGCATTTAATTATACCCAAAATAACACTTAGTCGTGTTTTGTTTTTGGCTTCGATATTTAAGTCCGTATTTTTATTAATGATTGTTGCCTCTTTACTCCAAACTACGGTACAAATACAAAGATTCTATTCACAAAGTGTTGTTCAAAGTTATTCAGATCAAAAATTCGTTGTTCGCATTATTGTTCATTGTTAGCAAACGTGGATCTGAAGACGCTCAATGCATTCCTAACTACGGTAGCAGTTTAAAATTATTGAACAATGGGTTATTGAGTTAGGACTAAATTGCTTTTTAGTTACCACTGTCAGCCAAGTCGTCAGCTTGTTTTAATACATACAGTAATAAATAAGGAAACTTAGTTAACTGAATACCTATTTAACTGAATACAAGTGACCTATGAATTTAGTGTTTGAGATTAACCAACTTTGTAGCTGAATATTTAAATGCTTGGCAATAGTATTGCGTTAAGCGCGAGAGGTCCAGGGTTCGAGTCCCAGGGAAACAATAATGTATTGTTACCTTAGAACTCTTAGCCTTCGATTCGCGTCGGTCGGACAAGGCACAGCAGTCGGATCAATTAACGATCAGTGAAACGGACACAGATATATGTTGCTTCATGCCCAACGATGGAAAAATGGAATTTAACGTCAAAGTAAGACATACATTGTAGTATATTCATAAGGATTAATAAACTATTATAAGATTAAATATAAATAGACAAAAGATATGAAAAAAATATATTTATTCCGTACTTATGTTAAGAAATTACTTTAGAGTTAAGATATATGACACGCGCTTAGTTGTAATTTTAAAGCTGTAAAGAAACTCTGGACAGGTAAATTTGGGTAGGCCTTAGGCGACTCTCTTAACCAGTAGCCAGATGGTCGGAGATTTGAAATTCTAAGTGCGTATGTAGACATCATTAGGCGCACGTGAACTGGCGTGATCTGAACGATCAATTTTTTTTTCGTTGCCCATTGTTGACTTGTTGGGTAATAAGTATAATGTGTAATAAGGTATAGTATCTTTATATACCTAATATAAGTACAGCTATGGTACAACGATAAAATCAAAGCCCTTCAAGAGATAAAAGACAATATAATTAAACTAGCTATGCCCACGACTTTGTCCGCGTGGAATAGTTATTTTATTTTTGCAAACAACCTCTTTAGCTTTATAAATTATAGCTATCCCGTTGCAAGTTAATCTTATATGCTGTTGCGGATATTTTTCTAGATCCAAGATATTATTTTTTCATGCATATTTTTTTGGGTATCTTGAACCGTATTCGCAGTGCACGCATCGGAAACCCACAAAAATGAAATAGTTCCTGAGATTGGCGCGTTCAAACAAACAAACTCTTCCAATAATAACATAGTGTTATATATCTTATAGTACTATATTACCACCGTATTATTTTAATAAGTAGTGATAAATAAATACATTACATACTGGTAAAAACTTGAGACTGGGAGCAAAAAATTAAAAATCGCAACATACATAAACGATTCCTTATTTCCTGAAATTTCAAACCAGAACCTCTCGTGCTAAATCCAAGGTAGCATATAACAATTGAACCACGGAGCTATCGAGACTTTAATGGGAAATATTCAAACTAAAGACGAATTTAATAAGACGAAACGAGATTTTACGTAATCAACGCATTGACTCCATCTTTATACAATTGAACACACATATTAACTCTTACCCATAACGAATCCCTTCGTTCCATAATTACGATGTTTGATCATAGATTTTTAAACAAAATAGTGTCGGCATCTTTACAGCATGCATTGTGTCATAGGAATTCTGTGGAACTAATAGATATTAAGTTAATGAACGATGCGTCGATGTAAAGACGATTATTTACGCACGATACAACTAAGTTAATCAATAAAAGTCATCAATATACCTATATATAAAGGTAGGTGGACACAGTATGTATTTTTTAATGAAAGAGGAGGAAGACAAGCCCGGGGTTCAGTTGATGGTAGGTGATGTGCCCCCAGCCTATAGCATCTATTCGGAAAACCACAGACTAAAATCGACTAAGTTTCACGGCTTTTTTAAACATGTTGTACCTGGTCGGGTTCGAACCCACGACCGTTTGTTTATTGATACATTACTATCAACAAGTCTGGCTATATAAAAAACGCAATACATATAGAATATACACATATACTATATACCAATACTCACACATGTATAAACTAAACTGAAGAATGATTAGTCTATAAATAATCTAAAAATTTCCGCAACAGTTTACCTATATCTATCTTTTAAGTTCGACTCGCAAAACCAACAGGACGGGGACGACGTCGTACATATTTCCAAATTATTTATTTTTTTCAATCTACTATTTTATAGATTATATACAGGATGTCCACGCGTCAAGAGAAGGAAATGCGTTTAATGTAAGAAGGCCTCTTAAGGTGAACTCGTGCGCAAGATGCCTTCGGGCTACGGCACCACTTGGTATTACGATGACGGCCAATAAAATCACGCCGCTACCTGCTCTTCTTTACATAATTGGAAATATAAATTAGAAAATTTAGTTATCACTTCTGTAGTAAATTATCTATGTTTCATTTAAAAAGTATATACTATTTAGGTATGTAATTAACCATCGCTTTATATTAATCTATTTACCATTTTGTTTTCATAACGATTCCACTGTTACTTTTTAGTATTTGTTGTTTTTCCAATAACGCTGTTCTTTATTTAAGTAATTTTGTTCTTGTTTCAAAGGTTTATTGTGGAACTACTCGTTGGTCGCTAGGTTATATAAAATATTATTTGTACTTACTTAAAGCAACTTTATTTATACATAAATTGCAATCCTAAATTTTATTTCTATTTAAAATTAAATAGTTCAATCGATGGCGGATGATCCCGTTGAACTTCGTGCGCGTTGATGTCTTTTTTATAGAGAACTGAGATGGCGAGCATCTAGATTTAAGAAGAGGCTGGTCTGAGGGGACAATATTTTTAATAACACAGGGGTTTTAAACACCTTTCCTACTTTGTAAAATTATACTACATACTTTGCATTTAGATTTGCATACAACCAAGTAGTTTCTTGTATATTGATACGACGATGGTATTAATAACTCTCTTTGCACTCTAGATCATATTTTCCATAATAACCATTTCTTGTTGCCATAGCAATGAATTAAACAACTAATGCATAGTTATTACTTATAGGTATTTTTAAGTCAAAGCGATGAAAATTTCGAAATTATTACAGGCTATGGAATAGGTGCATAGGAACCTTATTTTTAATATGAGGTTTTACTCAAGCACATAAATCCTTATGAATAGTGTTTAACGCTTTCATACAAGAGTTTAATGAACTTCGACTGTCAAAGCAATACCACGAGCAACTTTCTAGACATAGCGACGATCTGTTATCTATAGATAACATAATGGTCAAATTATATAAGCTCACTAAACCTGATTAATAAATATACTTACAATCATAACGTTTGCGTTAGATTATACAACTTTATACACGATTGTTTCAATCGGACAAGTGTAAAAAATACGTATTCCGTAACATCAACTGATCATGTCACTAAAACTTTATGAACACACAAACACTACTTGGACCATTTATGGTGAAGAACTAATATTGATGTATTATTACAATGTTAGTATGTATTTAGAAAGCAGCCGAATATAACGCAGAGGCATGCGCAAGCGCAGCTTTACCGTAACTGACTGGCTACGTGCGGTGTTGCTAGGATATAACAAATCTTTATCAATTTGAGTTATTGGTAGGAAATATTACAACTGTAGTTAGTATTCAAAAATACAGTAAATGTCAATGCAATCTTAAAAAATAAACTTAATTATTACTAATTGAGAAATTCATGCCTGGCCTATCAAAAGATTTAAAAGTATGAAAAGAAATCACGTTTCTCCCATGGCGCATCGGGCGAACACATTTCTGTGTTTCCCTGATCGATTCTTTTACGGGTAAATTGTTGATGAAATTTCTGTACCCTGCCTAACCGAAACAATCTATAAGGCAATTTGTTATTCACTTATTAGTGATGAATTAGTAATATAAAAACTGAAGTAGTGATGTTTGTAAGATAATTTAAAAAATATTAAAAAAATAAAAAAATTATTAATAAAATGTAAAAAATGACACAATGAAATTACGACAATTCCAATTAACTTAAAGAAACATATTTTTATCAAATTGATTGCTAGACTGGTAGCAAAATTCGTGTCTAACAAGTTCTATTTAAATATTTTTACAATACAGCTCAATATATACATACATAGAATATGCTCGCTGCTAAATAATATATGTATTATATTATAACATTGCTTGATAATATCGTATCCATGTAACGATAATCTTCCAATTTGGTAGTAATTTTTCAGGTCGGTCAACATTTTGTATGGGACAGCTACAACGTGCGAACGAAGAGTACCTACTTTATGTTTTGTCTCGCTCTGTGTGCCGGAATGTGACCCGCTATTAATTTGAAGGCCGTAAGCTTGCTAACGCTTCAGAAGAAACAAGAGCTTTGCGAGCTTATATTACACATTTCTATTGGGTGTTGATACTGCGTTGTAAGGTGGCCGTGCTATTAATAAGTCTTTGAGTAGGTCAAAATAAATACATATATATGTTATTAAAACTTATAATATCTAGTAATACATTCTATAAATTGTATAAAAACCTTTAAATTGAAAAGGTTGTATTTAATTTAATATTACTCATTGCTTTGCTACTAATTTAATAGTATGTTCTGAAAATATTAAATAATAATAATATAAGACTAACAATTAAAAATCAACAATAACCTATTTTTCTTAACATTGCCATCTGTATCTAGCAACTAATTTTGTAATCTCGCAATAACATTTGCGGGTTTACATATATATGTACTTGTTTAAATTGTGTAGGTTAAAGTGTGTAGGACTAGAGGGCGCTGTTAGCAATACATTTATTTGCAACGTTTAAAAACTGCTCTTTAATAAAAAACAAATAAATAAATTAAGTTTTTTTAAATGCTATTGTAATTTATTTTATTGGGCTCCTAGTTACATGTTACAATTTTGCAAGTTACTTTTGTTAGTTAGAGTTATCTATGTGATTAGCACAGAGTATAATCATTTCATTTAAGTCTGTGTTGTTATTTCGGTTGTTATGATTTGGAAATTCAAACAGTGGTATTTTATTCTTGTTGTAATTTATTATTACTAATGCAAAATGCACACTCTCCCCTTCTAGAAGATTTTACGGTTTTGATATCTAATAGAAACATTGCTGTTAATAAAAACAAATATGTAATTAAGTGAATTTAATAAACAACAGGATTTCATACAACCCGGTACGTTATATTTAAGTAATTAAAAATCATAGTATTTTAAGGTACAATTAAATTGTTTTTCTCATGTAACTAAACTAACCTATAAAATCGTTTTTGTACTGCTCGTTAGAAATTACTTTAAGTTTAAACCGTTACTCGAGAAGGAAAATAAATTTAATTGGGTGATATCATACGCTCCAATTGCGTTTTGCGAACAATCTTCGCCCACACGATATTAAACCAAAGTCAAGGTTTGATTCGAAACGCCAATTATAGTCATATGTTGTCGAGGTCTTTCGAAACGCAGTCAACCATGAACGTAACATTGATCAAGCAATAACAATTCGTTTCTGCCCTTTACGCGTTTGGATCTCTAAGGGTAAAGTTTTAATGTATTATTAGTTAAAGTAACAAAAATGAATAAGACTGCATAAGGAATTTATTATTTTTTAAGCAAGATAGACTAATATTATAACTCCAGAATCCTTATTTCTAGATAATGTCTAGACCCCGACCTCAGTGGCAGTTGCAAGCGATTGCTGCGCAGAAACGTGACAATGAGTTAAGAAGAGCCGAAGAGTTGAGAAAAGTGGCCACTTACTTTGAGAAGAACACTAATAAAACGAGACATCATGAAAACTGGACTACCGCTGATTACTATGAAAAGGCTAAGAAGGAAGCCGACTTATTAAGTGCGAAAAAAATACGAGCATTGTAAGTCATTATTATCATGCAATATTAATTACTTTTTGGTATAACTCCATGTAGAGAAGCACAAAATAGCCATTGCCATGGGCAACCGATTTTTACCTATAAAATCCAGCCAGTAATACAAACTTTGTCTGCTATTAGAGATATAGATTTTCTCCTATTGCCTTTAGTCAATGCATTGGAGAAGCTTGGTCAACTACGTAACTGTTAATAAACTCTATCAGTTGAAGAATGAAATGTGGACAATAGTTCAGACTAATGATTTAAGGTTCCATTTCCTGTATGTAAATTAAAAAAGAAATTGTTTTTCAGACAACTAGAAGAAAGACGTAAGAAATTGGAGTTAATGTTGTTTCAAGAGAATTTGCAATATCAACAGGAAATAAAAGCATTAGCTGCTCAGCCTAAATTCTTCAAGAATGGGTAAATAAAAAAGCTATCTTAGACTTATGATGGAAAATAAATGTTTTTATTTAAGTTCTAGTATCTTTTTCTTTATAGTTCTTCTAGTCTTAATATCTCAAAGATTATGAAAATATTTGGTGGAGCCTCTTTACCTCTATTGTAACAATAGCTAAATAAAGCTAGTAAAAATTGTATAATAAATATAGAACAACTCTAAACTTATGTGACAATAGACTATAATGAAAGTATTAAAATTTTCAGTTCCTATTTAAATAAAGTCTCCACAACAACTCTTCAAGAAATAAATCAAGGTATAATAGAAAAAGAGGAACAGCTCAGAAGACAAGAAGCCGAACTAAAGCTATACCATGCTTGGAGGCTGCGGCAACCAGAATTGAGGGCAGCATCCTCATATATTGCTAACGGGAAATTAAAATCAGCTTGGTGAGATAGTCATGAATTTATATACATATGTCAATAATATATAAGTCTAAAAACAATATATAATATATATGGTATCAGAAGGCTTCTTTTTATTGACGTACTATGCACTAAACTACCTTTCAGGTTTCAACAAATTGTAGAAAAAGAAATACAAAAGAAGAAAGATGAAGAAGAGACTCGTAAGATTCTGCAAGAAAGAGATGAAGCTTTACAAAAGCAAATTAAAATTGAAGAAGAAAGACTCAGAGATAAGGAACTACAAATGAAGGTATATACTGTGGAAGTTTATCCATATGTTTTAGCATATAAATATAAAGATCACGAATATAACTGATTCAAGTTCAGTTAAGCTTATTAGTTATGTTGTGGCATTTCGTGACAATGCACACCAGTTGTTTTCTAGAAAGCACTAGATGATTATAGATTATATTTCAAACCACAAACTCTTAAATGGTTGAAACGTTGGACTGTTTCTAGAAACTTGTCCACTTGGTGGTTTGATTTCAGGTGCCACAGATAATATTTGAAATTCGTAGTAACGACCGTTTCGAACTGTCAGTTGACGTCCCGTACTAATTACCGTTCTGATTTATATTTTTAATGAAGAAGAAAACGAAATGGTTTTATATATAAATAATGTTAGTATACTTTTTTATGGTTTTGTTGTACAAACAGGATCTTAGAAATAGTCTCGAGGGACAAATAGCAGAATTGAGTGAGAAAGAGACGGCTGTCAAAAAGCTTCGTAAAATGGAAGAGCGAGAGAGAATGATACTCGAAGAACTACAATTCCTATCGAAAGAAAGAGAAAGGGAACACATGAAGCTCATCTCAGAAAGGGACACAAATATTGTTAACATGGGTTTGCACAAATTTAAGTTGAAGAGGAAAGTCACTGCTGTTTTAAACGAAATTAGTTTAGATCTTAAAATGTTAGAGAAAATTAAAGATGCTGTTGTGAAGGTTTGTAACATTCTTTCAGTATTAGTTACGTATTGAAAAGTTTTTAACTATGAACAATTTTCGCCCTATTTAATAGTTTTGTAGTATGTATAAAGAAATAAATTTGAGAGAAATTAATATTTCAAGCAGTATTTCAAGTTAGATTAGACCTAGTAAAGTATTGTCTTTAGATTAAAGACAATACTTTACTAGGTCTAATCTAAATTAGTATTTATACATCCCTACAAACATCCTTGTTTTGGGAACTTTTTTCAGATTTATAAAATATAGTATATATGTATGACATTCCAGGATTACGAAGCTGATAAAGAGAAACATAGGTCCTACAAACGAATCCTGGATTCAGCGTTAGCAGAGTTAGAGCAGCACAGAGAGCGGGAGCGACTGAGACAGAAGAACATTGAGTCTATGTACGATGGTGAAGCGAGGCAACTTAACGAGAAACAGGATAAGGTTATTTCGTCTTAAAAGTCAATCATATGACAACCGGCTAACGACCGAATCCTAATAATAATAATTATGTACTTCATAGAGATTATTATAATAACCAAAACCATCAATTAATCTAGAAAGTATGAATTATTAATGGCATAAGCGTGGCACGAACCCATATCAAACAGAAAGCAATTATATTAATTTCAACTTATAAATGGGCAATGCCCGCCAGTTTAAAATTATGTTATTAAAAATTTAAATACAGATAGAAACAATGTTTTATATAAGGAAATCATATAGATTATAAAACTTAAATAACTATGAAACTTCACGACTATCTGTGGACGGTGGTTCGTGACCCGGACGGAAAGTTAATATTCCTACCACTCATTGAATATTCAGACTTCCAAGACAAAGTCCAACGTGTTTCAGGAAAATTAAATATGTACTAATTAGAAAAATGTTGGGCCCGGTAGGGATCGAATTTACCTCTCGTACATTGCTATCTTTACACCATGAGCGTAACTTAAATTTATTATTATTTAATTATTAATGAGCCCGTCTAGTATATAATTAGTCAGGCATGAGTTTTATAATCTTTTCTAGATATGGGCAAAAGAACGCGAAGCTCGCAGCACGCTAATGAACGAAGTTGTAGCGACTTTGAAGAGGCAAGTAGAAGAGAAGATAGAGATGAACATAGAACAGCAGAGAGCCAATGTGTTGGAGCGAGAGCAGATATTGGAACAGATGGACAGCTTCCACCGCGAAGTGAGAAGTAACGAGAGAGATAATACGGTTTGTTGACGTTTTATTAATAACTAATATGAACTTTATGTCTGTATGTAGCTTTTTCCATACAGTTGTGGAAGTGTTCCGAGTGTCATATCTTGTACAGAAGACACATGAATATATAGGATAGTATTGTGTAGTCAGAAATGAAAGTGTGCCGTTGATTGTAAATTGATATTTTATGCAAAAGCCAGGCCTTTTGCTGTATCAATTATCTTCCAAACAAGAAATAATAGGAGGACATTTGGTTTTGTTAAAGGCAGGCTCTACATCGTATTTTTAATAATAAGTAATAAATAAACTTATTGCCATAACCGAACCGAACCGTTGTAACCGAAATTTAATAGTAACATTGAAGCCCAAGAATTAGAAGTAACCGTAGATACGTAGATAGTTTATTAGTTTAAATAGTTATTAGACATAAGCCTAAACTAATAAGGTTTTATTTCAGTTTAAGAGCTCGTCTGTTTCGACGATAACTGCGCTTCAGTCGCAGTTGAATAGTCTCAAAGTTCAGAAAGAAAAGTTGGAAGAAGTGGCTCAGAAAGAAGCGGAGTTACGAGAAGCCGCCTCCAACGAGAGAAGATTGAGGCAAGAGATCGCTCGGGCACAAAGAGAAGGAAATACACAAGCGTGGGCTTAAATATGGGTGTGTGGGGTGTGAAGCCCGCACAAAGCGGGATGCAATTGGAAGAGAAATGATGAGTTTGCATTTATTTTGACGTGTGCATTGTCTGTTATCATTGTGTTGAATTCCAGTCAAATATTTCTCGCATTATTTTTTATGAATTGATATTATTTAGTAATACAAAATGGCTATTAGCTTTAAGGGAAGATGTATTTTTACACTTATTGACAGTTTAAAGTTACATTTCTTTATTCATATTGTGTTATAGTAGGATAAAAAGTCGATTATAAAATTGTTTGACCAACTGCTACAGACTTCGTTTATATCGAAACGTAAATCATTTTATAGTAATGAAGTAACATGTCGTTTATTACTCAAGAAATTAAAATTTATATTACTATTTTTTTCACATGAGACTGAAAGTACTAGGTGTAAGAGTAACTAAAGAAATTTTATTTTTGTGGTTAAATGAATTGAATAATACCTATTTGCTTTCAAATGTGTGATAATGTGTGTGATAAATAATAAAGTATTTATTCGTAATGTTTGGTTTGTTATTTCTCTGAAATGCCATATTAGCCCTTATGGATGTACTTAAATTAATTTCAGAGGAAAGAGCGGCCTCTAGTGGTTTTTTGCTGTAGTTCTTAGAACGACATTACCTTTTGTCATGTTATATTCCTTTTCAAGTTTGACACTAGAGGACGCTAGCAGTATAATACATTTAAAGTAAAATTTATTTTAAAGGATAGAGCGGCCTCTGTCGATTTTTTGTTGTAGTTCTTAAAGATATGTTATCTTGGGATTATGTAATGTTTAGGTTTGTTACTAGATGGCGCTAGTAGTGTTTCGTGTTTACATTTTGTGACAAGTTATAAATGTGCGTGTTATAATATTTTAATTAATTAGTTTCATTAGAATAATGGCAAAACCTTCAAAGTTCATTGTAAATTAAGATGATAAAACGTTGATGACTACAGTACATAGAATTTAAATTTAAAAAGTTGCGCGCGACATCGTCCGTTTGTAATGTGTTCCTGAAACAATCTAACGGTAAAGGATCTAAAGTGTTTTTTAAATGTTTACGAATATAACGCGTAGGAAAAAAAATACATTTGTCTATGTACCTAGATGTATTGAGCTGTGTAGGTCTGGTTTCATCAGATAAGGAGCCTTCACACCGGTAACAGTGCTGATAATAATAATAAGCACATAACATCGTACATACACTATCTACAGTAGGTAGGTATTTGTTGTGTGTTAAAGTTTAAAATGCTCAGGCTCATCTATGCAAAGCTTAAAAAGTTTGAACTACGCTTTGTGTAGGTTGCCTAAATTAGATACGCCTACCATCATTAATATTAAATGTATCAAGGGGCCACTATAGATTTAAGAAGAATGTAGGTAAATAGTAATTTTCGGCTTTCCGAAAACCATTTAGCGGCTTTCACGTGTCGAGATGTCCAAGCCAAATTTATGCTGCAAAATATAAGTATAGTCTATAGTTTACGCGATTAGGTAGTACACATTTATATATGTATAGAACACAAAAAACTTACCTAATCTTTTTGTACATTGAAGCTATATATTAACTTTATAAATAGCTCTAAAAACAAATAATTAAACACGTTGAACAGTTTTAAATTTATTTTAGACTTTTACGTTACGTTTCTGTTGCTTTACTGCTGTAATAGCGTTAGGGTAGCACTCGGGTTCAGATTTGAAAGAGTGATGTTTCAATTCAAGTTATTACTGCCAATTTTATTTAACATACCTACATGTTTTGAGACCTCATCTTTGAGCGCTTATACGCGCTACATCTGGTTGAACATATGGAAAGAAATACTATTTAGTATACGGCAGCAATTAATAGACAAAGAGACAAGGAGAAGTCTGATGGACGTGTTTTGGGACGCCGAGACGGACGAGCTAGTTATGATGACACTTGATTACTTGACAGATGAAACATCGTTGTTAGGTACAATGATGTTTCATCTGTCAATAAAAGTTATTTCTCAAAGTTTAAGGTACCATTGACGCATTGAGAAGGTACCAATTACTAATTCAATATGTCACCAGTTGTAAGATCTTATTTTGTTGTTAACATAATCAAATAGTTTAACACGACCAATATCGTGTTCAAAGGAAGTATTATTCTAAATTTTAAAGTGTTTTAAATTAAACATCGCGTCTGCATCAGTATGTCTCTAACTGTGTCCCAGTAAAATCGCATTCGCTATCGTTAAACGCATGAGGACGTTATATCCACCGGTTCTATCATGTTTAGCAGTATACAATAAAACTTAGCAATATCCAAACTTTGAACCAAACCATCTTATTTAATTGGGATCTTTCAAATGTCCAAAGCGGTTGGAACATTTTTTCCCTTCGTCAAGCAATTACATTTTCATTGCTCTGTCATAAGAAAATAAACACGCAGTGTCTTTTAAATAAAACACTTTAACGTTTTAAAACGCGATATATTGGTTAAACTTATTTGAAAATGATTTTTAACTTCGGCCCGACGTTTCGGATGCTTTGCAGTAGCCGTAGTTAAGGGGAGACTCAAACTCCATTTTCAATGAAGTTTAACTAATATATCGCGTTTTAAACCGTTAAAGTGTTTTATGCAAATGTGTACTACTCGCGTAAACTATAGACAGTACACAGTGTCTTTATTTATAAAAGACTAGCTGTGTCAGCGATTGTGGGTGAGATCAGCGAGTGATTGCTGTGTATAGATTGACATATACCGTCGCGGTCTTTTTTTTTAATAGTTTAAAGAGAAATCATTCCTTCATACATATTTTTTGGGTATCTTGAACCGTTTTTGCAGCGCACACCTCGGACACCCATAACCTATGTTTTTTCATATTTCTCGCTGTATCTCGATTATATTCGTCACAACGCGATTTTATAGCCTTCATCGATAAAGTACCTAACAAACACAAAAATAATTTTTAAATTCGAACCAGTGGTTCCAGAGATTAACGCGTTCAAACAAACATACAAACAAACAGCTTTTACAGTCTTTAGCTTTATATATTAGTAATAGATTTGAAAGGCTTAGGTACTGTATTTCACAAAAATAGAATAGAGAGTTCCCTCGTTCTTCCAACAGAGCCAAATCCTGTAGGCAGAGGTACCTACTGTAATACTCGACCAGTGTGATGTGATGTGATGAAAATGTGGGTTACAGAGTCCCAGCTTGGGTGGACGCAATATTATTAGAACATACTTTAACTGTAAAAAATGCGTAGTGGATAACGTCCCCTTATTAGCCCATCACGCAAATCCCTGGCTAGCGACACGGTGCGGCTTCTTTTCAAATGCGAAATTTTCGGATAGTATATACGATTTTAAACCTTCAAAGTACTAACAAATGTTGATTACAAAATCGTTATAAGGATAAACAGGTATGAATCACATGCACAACGCAAAGGATTTGTTCTTTGGACTAGATTCTTTCATTGGACTAGATTCTTTCATTGTACTAGACTCTTTTTTCTTTTAAAACAGTCATGAAAACAAAATCATTTATTTGAAGAAGGATATAAATAGAAGTAGATATGTATGACATATATAATTTTGATCTGAAAGTAGGTATTTGTATAAACTTGTATAATAATAAATGAAAATTCCTTATACTGAAAAAAGGTTATAGTTAAACATAACAAATACCTATTTGATATGTTTTTTAAATATTGTTTAATCGCAAGTGAAATTTACATATTTTTAATTTTTTTATACTTTGCGTTGCCAAAGTTTAAAGAATCCTTAGTTCTTGCAAAAAATCTATTTGTTACTCAGCATGAATGTAACTTTCTAATCGAAAGAATCGGTACATTAGTGTTCGAGTTTCATTACAAACACACAAAAATACAAATCTACCTCTACAATATTAGTGTAGATGTAAATTTCGCCCCCGGGATCTTAAGTCTCTGACGGATAGGCGGGCAACATATAAGCCCACGCACGCCCCCAGTCAAAACACCGTAAAAAGGCGAACCTAGACCAAAAACCCGAGCTCATTACAGCTACCCGATCTACGGGGCCAATTTAAATTTACGGCATTATTCGCGGCACGTGTCTGACAAAATGAATCCCACTACCGCACCGTGGCACGCACGAAAAAAAACGAGAAAAACCCATACGGCTACACCCCTCGTCGCTAGTGGCCGCTCACTGGGACCACGCCCTGTCTCTCGGGCTTATCGCACTCCACTCTCGCGCGCGGAACCCTGATATGTGCCTCTCTTTCCGTTTGAGACCGGCTCGTGGGGTTCTGTACGTCCAGCAGATGCAGCGCTTGAGATTATGCGTTATTAATATTTTGACAGTGAGAAATGTTAACGGATAACGATAACTCAAGTTATTGACAATCTTGAACTCGAAGATTAAAACTACTAACGATACTAACACAGCTATGTGATATTTAAGATGAATAGTTGCTTTGCCTCTATTTTTCAGTAGCTTTAGTAGCCGGTTTGTCCCTCTATAACTACGGCTTTTGCAATGCGAAACGCCGGGCTGTAGATGGAATAAATTGTAATTATCCAAACTAATATATTTCGCGTTTTAAACCTTTTAAAGTGTTTTATTTAAATAAAAATATTAACCAATTTAATTTTTTATTTATATAAATAATGAAATTCTGTTTGCTCAATCGAATTAATAACATTCTCTATAGAATGTTAACAATTCGATTTACCAAACAGAAATCATAAATCAAATAAAATATTGTTCATAGGATTTTCTTTAATGACGTACCATTACGTAACATAATACATAATAAGACGAAATTTTCAATACTGCTATATTTAGCGACTTGTCCTAAGATATAGGTACAGAATTTGCTAGTAACGAACTTTCGAAGCGCTGGATTGCTTAAGAAATTGCAGCGCTGTTTAAACTTTAAGAGTAGAGCCGGGCTGCTGTGGCTTTCCGAATGTTATATCAGTACGCGTTCGGTGTTCGCGCGTGTCAGGTGTTGAAACGCTCCACGCGGCTCCGCG